GGGGGGGGGGGGGGGGGCGGAAGGTCGCCGTGGATTAGTGTGTGCATAACCTTCATGGAAGGAGTCATGCCTTCCAATAAGCATCCCAATGTTTTGGTATGAAATCGTTGAGTACAATGTTGTATTGTTGGTGGATACACAACGACCACAGAAAGAGGCGTGACGATTCCTCTATGTCTTGTCCGGAAATCTCTTCATAGTCGTTGATTCCAGTGTTTCACTCGGCAGCAGTAGTGGTACCAACCTCCTCAACATCGAACACGGGTGCTATGAATAGGCGTGGGGTGCGTCACAGTGTTTGCCGTGTGGACTTCAGGACTTTACATCATGCGATCCTGTCGCGGTTTCGACCATCGGAGTACGTCTGCCCAGAAATCAAGCGTCGACGTCACGCTACAAGCGTTTAAGTAGGTAATGGATCAGCACCGGAGAGGGTGGGCAAGTATGTGCAGAGTGCAGACAGTCCGGAGGCCAGAAGAATCGCGACCGGACCGAGGAGGCCCACGCACGCGAGCGTGTCACTCACTGTCGTCGCCGCTGTCGTCGTCGTACCACGGGTCGTAGGTGTACGAGTACGAGTCCGAGAAGTCGAAGGAGAAGTCGAAGACGTCATCGGAGGAAGCGTGCACAGGGGCAGCGGGCACTGCAACAGCACACGGAAGGAAGGCAGATAGTGGTGGTGGTGGCAGCGGCAGCGGCAGGACCGGTTAGGGTCGACGTTCTGGCAGCTTCGACCGTTCTTGGAAGCGTGCACTCGCACGCACGTGCGCCTCGTGTAGGCGGCACACCCAAGACACGAGGGGCAGCAGTGGAATAGGCACGTGATGAAGGGTGAAGGTATTGGTATCTTCTGAATAGGATCGCGAGCAAGCTACTTGATCTACGGCAATACACAGGTGACCCATCATTCCCCTCCACGTTTGAGGCGAGCAACTCCGCAAGTCTCCACGTGGGCGTTGTGAAAGTGGGTGGGGTTATCTGCAGCAACGCCATGTTCTCCGAGTTTGCGGTGTAGGTGCGCAGAATTGGGTGCAAACAAACAATATATCCTGTTGTGAAACGTGACCACAAGGTCAAGAATCGGCCGAAAAAGGCCCGCCCGGGCTGTTGCCGAGAAAATCGAGGAAATTTTACACCCGACACCCGATGGAACAGAGCGGCGAACGACTCCTACGGACAGGGTGTATATTTGCTCACCACCTCCGGACGGGAGTGAGGGGCCGGTAGCGTCACACACAGGCCTCTGCAACACCCCAGAAAAAATATTCATCGATGAAAATGTGTAGCATATGAAAAACTGACGCTTTCATTCGTGCCTTGCGTCAAGTGCATGCGCCTCGCACGCAGCGTAGACCGAGCTCTTTCCATCTGATGCTCACGACGAATCAAGATTCTTGGCCCGTGCCTAAGCGGAGCAATGCGTACCTTGGCATCTACCCTACCCATCGTATGATGCAACGGCAACAGCACCTACCCGGAGTCGCGGGGGTAGCGAAGGTCGGCGAAGGAGTGGCGTCATCATCTGGGTGGAGTCGAAGTTGTGATTCCCGTTGGCGTTGCCGTTTCGAACGGCCGTTCGTTGTAGTAGGGTTGCCGATGAGACGTTTCAGCGCGGCAGTGCAAGCGGTACAGGGTAAAGAGAGATGGCACTTTCGTTAGACATCAACGTGCGAAGGCGAGCACGGGTTCTCAACATCCATGCAATAGCTTCCTCCGCCGTTTTCCTGGCTGCGACAAGAACGAAAGTGCAAGAACCTTTAAGAGGTTCGTTGCGAAACGTGGTCGCATAGACTGCCGGCAGGTTGTGCAGACTCCAAGTTCATCCGCAACGCGTCCAAATGTTTTGGCGATGATCGAGGAATGAGGGCGGCGCTGCGTTCCACGGAAACAACATGCAGCATCATCGCCAACGAACCGGAAGGCCACCACATCGCGATTACCGCTACAAAAACAAACGCCACAAAATCTGATCAGCACGGCTTACTAATAAATATGGGCAGGTCAAGACAACATCGAGAGTACCACCACAACCGTATCAACATGAGCCTCGTGTGCGTGGCCGAATCTACCATCTCTCCGTGGTCGGTGCCTCATCAGCATGGCGCTAGATACTTTCACGTCGACATCAACCACCCTGTCTTCACGTCAAACCATTCGACTAGTCTGGTCTGACTAGTCTACCAGTCTGAACAGTCAGTGCTGATTGCTAGTCTGATGGTTTTGTTTCGTTTCAACGAAGTGTAAACGCGTGTGCCGTGACTTACCGCAGACGGGCACGACCGCCTCCCCCTCAAGGGCAGACAGGTCGGGCGTGTTTCCCTCATCGTCGGCGTAGGACACAGACGCGATGACCTCGGCGCCCTCAGGCTGCCCGCACCAGTCCAGCCAGACCTCGAAGTTGGTTGGGGTGGCCTCGAGGTCGTCGACGGTGAAGATCACGTCGCTGCCGTCGTAGGTGGCCACGCCGCCTTCCACGGTGGCCTCGGTCACCATGCCGTTGAACTGGACCGTCACCGTGGCGGCCGTGGCGGCGCAGGGCACGCTGCCGCCGGACGCGGAGACGATGTCTTCGAGGACGACTGAGGTAAACCAGGTGGGCGCGGTCGAGGGGGAAGGGGGGGTGTTCTCATAGTCGTGCATGCCGTCGTCGTTAGACCATTGACCTCGCATCCCTACAAAGCCGGGACGGACCACGCCGGGTTCTCGCCGGACCAGACTCTCACATCACCAAGCGCGAAGCGCCGTGAGATATTCGGCGAGTCGCATGAAGGGTGCGCTACATCCTGCAAAGGGTGTTCGGCATCTTGTGCTTACTTCCTTGCGTACGGATGACAGCTGCGTATGACTTAATTTATTTTCTGGTGCTTTCACTTCCTGAGACAGTTATAAGCACTGTGTAACTGCCTCGAGGGTGATCGACCATTTTAACACAACGCGGTGCGATCATCCCCCTTGCGCGGAGTGAGGGTTCTCAACCCCGCACAACATGATCTACTCGACCACCATTATGGTTACCGCCAAAAAAAAAACCGGAGGTAAAAAAAAAACCGGTAACCTGGTTGCCGAGTTCACGAAGTGAATTGGCTTGTTTTTACAATGTCGTTGCCAAGCGACGAAAACCCAACCCCGATGGCAAACACCGGGGGGGGCGGCGGCTTGTTTTACGACGTCGTTGCCAAGCGACGAAAACCCACCCCGATGGCAAACACCGGGGGCGAGCGGGGGCGCATTCGTCCGGGGGCGCAGCCAAGCGTTCTGGGGAAGGGCGCGTGTGGGTTAAGCATATGGGTTTCACCACGCGAGACTCGCAATATGATGGCATGGGAAATAAGAACAGTTCGGGAACGAGGGTGGTATTACGGCAACTGTGTACATAAGGCGTCGGAGGTGAAAGTTAGGGTGCGCAATGACAAGTCCCGGTTCTTCGGCTGTGACTGCGGAGCACCGCAACGTTCCCTAGGCCGTCTGCAGTCTTGCCAAAGGGTCAAACGTGGAACATCGTGCGTCGTCAAAGGCGGTACATACTTGTGATCCCACCACGCTTGGCCCTTGGAGTTGAGACAGGGTGGATAATAACTAACTCGCCCAAATTGAGGGATAAAATAATAATTAAACGAGCAACTGCGAATGCGTTTACGTACACGTTCAGGAGTGAGATGAAAACCTACGGAGACAGGGGTGGACGGTACGAACTTGCACGTTGTGACCGGCAAACAATACAAGTGCTGTGTATGCGTACATGTACGTTTGGGAGCCCTTACCGTCCAACTCCTCAAAGTTGTCGACGTCGAAGACGTTCGCTTCGTCCCCTCCGATAGCGAGAAGGGTTTCCGCGGTCGGGACCGAACCCACACCGACGGCGTACATGATGGTACCCTCAGCGCGGGCCGCGTCGGCCTCATCCTGTGTGACGGGATAAAATTAAGCGTGCGCACGCCGACAGGAAGAAAAACAGAGGAGGAAGAGAGGATTCAAAACAGTCTCCATGCACTACATTAGTTCCGTCGGCCATAGGAAAGTCAAAAGTTTTTTCACGCAGGCGGTAGACTCGACTCCAGACACAATCATTCGTCGAAAACGCATCGGGGCGGATTTGGGTTGCAAACAATGGCAATCACTCAAGCAGTACTGCCGTATTTTCGACGTTCTTCAACCCCCTCGCCACGATGAACATATGCGTTTCCCGCACGAGAGAGAATACCGAATCGAGGCCACGGGCACCATGGGCGCGACGAGGACGGCATGTTTCAACGAGCGTTGACATCCATACGCAGTAAACACGACGGGATCATGAGGAGGCTCTCGGAATAGTTAAGCCGTAAACACGGATCAATACAGCAGTCCTACGAAATACCCCAAAAACATGAGGAAGCCTATCGACGCGGACCTGAGGGCTATCAGCCTCTCCATCGGTAGTGACGATCATGTACGAAGTGGTGGTGGGGGAGGCGCCGAGGAGCTCCCTGCCCTTGGCAATGCCGGAGATGATGTTGGTCGATCCACCGAACGTGGCATACTTTGTTTCCGCGTCGACGAAGGCGTCGAAGTCCTCGAGGGAGTAGAAGGTGCCGCCCTCCGAAGCTGAAGAAGAGAACTGGGCGAAGGACGCGCTCCCGCCGTTGGTGAAGAGGTTCTGTTCGGCAAAGGACGCCACCGTGTTCTTGGCGAACTCCATCGACAGCTCCCAGTCCGCGGTGCTAACGCTCCCCGAGGAGTCGATGATGACGGCCACGTTGACCTGCGTCATAGGCATGCGGGATAATGGGTGGATGAGATGGGTGTCGGGCGATGTCACATGCCCACAAGTACATGACGAGTCCAACCACCATGGGCATTCCGTGTTGCATACACAACAATCAACCCGTTCAGCTTGCTGGTCCTGACAGCGAGCAGCCTCGGACACCCGGCATCGTATTTCGTTGGTGTCGGGATTGTTTCAGGCTTCATACGTCACCACCGCACCGTCAACAACACCTGTAGGGGGAGGTATATATCAAAGCAGGTTCCTTCACAAGCAACAACATGATGTACGCCGTGAAACTGAAAAAGAGCATATAAAAGCGGGTCGGAATTGGCGGTAGGAAATGGTCACAGCAGGAAGGACTCACCGTGTTCGCTGATAACGTCGTTTGCCCCTCCATCGTGAAGGAGTACTGGCTGCCCGCTTCGCAGGGGCAGTTGGCTGCCCATGTCGGGTCCGCCACCTGGACGCATGACTCCTGACCGTACACGCTGCTACCCAGGAAGAGGGAAAGCGCGCCTGTGGCGAAAAGACTAAATCGGTCCATGGTGCCGATGCCGATGCCGCCGCCACTGCTGCGCTGTTACAATTGCAGGAGGCAAAGGAAACATCATCGCTTCGCTTCGGAAACACGAACAAGCGTGTACCGGAATTGTTCAGATTCGTCACCTCTCGGTGATTGGGAGCACATCAGGTTTTGGCACCCGAAAGAAAAAAATAGAAATTTTGGTTGCTGCGCCGTTGTCGGTGGTATCACACCCAGAGCGGTCACGATCAATAAGTCTACAACCTTAGACCACGGGAGCAATGGCACTAGACTACAGTGCCGGCCCGATTATATGAAACACATACTATTACGAGGCTCAAACCTTGTTTTGTTGCCACCTCTGAGCAAAGACTTCTACGTAAGAATTGATGTAGCGCCGGCCGCTATGCTCAATTTCCTCGGGCATTTTTTCTACGTCTGTCCAAAATCTGAGCGTCAGTTTTCTAGTTCTTGGGAGCGGGCCGGCACTGTACCGGCACCTACCGTCGTGCCGAGGAACACAAAGTAGCGTAGACTTGCAGCAGTTGAAAATCGCCATAATTCGCAGACACTAGTGAGTGTTTGTTTATGCGAAGGTCGTGTGTGTGTGGTACGGGTCCTGTACACCGCGAAGCTGCCTCGCCTGTACGAGGAGGCGCCTGTGTCATTTTCTTCAGTATCTCCCCTATCGGTCACTCAGCAACGTCAAAGGGTCAAACTCCTGTGTATTATCCGCATCGCACCCATCCTGTCATCGCACCGGGGGTGACATGAAGAATCTACAACGAAACGACTTTCCGGACCGGTATCGGACAAGTATGATAAATGCATACCCGAAAAAGGCAGAGAGGTGGCAACGGTCGGGGAGATGACACCAGTCTGGGAGGTGGCACGGGGTGCGCAAAAAAACCCAAGAATTACATGATATCGATGTCCGCACCGGGGTCGGTAAGATCGCACCCGAGCCGATCTCACCGATCCCCAATTCCAAGATTGAGCACTTTTGATCTGCTGGGAAGAGGTGCATGTGCGAACCTTTTCCTTGTGGGGAGGGTGTCAGCGGGGGGCCACTAAAATTTGTACTATTTGTACTATTTAGTCTACATACTTCCTCTGTCACATAGATAGGTAAAGTCCGTTATGATTACACGGCCAATTAGCCGTGTCCGATGTCTTAGGCGATACTTTTTTTGAAATCTTGAGCGTTTTTCGGGTTGAAACCCATATTTCTTTTTTTTTCTTGCGCACTACCCTGCATGCACTAGCGGCTTACAAAAAAGTAGTCAGGCCAAAAAAGGCCGTATTTTGCCCCTTTCCATGAGGGTGGGGGTGGGGGCACGAAACGATACATACCAAAAAAAGACAAGAATTATCCCGAACCCTAAACCCAAGGTTACCTCTACTGAACGATCCATTTCGCGTCCTCCCATACAAAAACCAACATAGTAGTGAACCCACACTAAAATCAAGACATCTTCGAGGCCCACACTAAAACCAAGACACTTGGGGGCGCCACACTAAAATCAAGTTACTTGCGGGGCAAAGCCGACAGGCGTAGGGTCCTAACCCTACCCCCCCCTTGTACTCAACGACCCGTGTCGCGTCCGCCCAATGTTTTCTGGGGTAATCAACGCCGTACCGCTCGGCGAGGGGGCCTAGAAAGCCCTTGGGTACCCTTTCTTTGCCCGGCGGAATCGCCAACGCTATCTCCACCGCCATGGCGTACCGACGACCCAACGATACTTCCGCACCCCGCTTACGACGTGGGGGTGTCTGAGCGTCGTCCCCCATGATAGCTACGTCGTTGTGGTGGTAGTGGGTGCTCACACAGCACAAAGCTGCAAATATTCTATTAAATATTCTCAAAATGTTTTCAAAATATTCCAAAAATATTCGCAAAATAGTCCCGTATTTGACACGCTAATTTATGTTATGTGCGTAACAAGCGCTTTCCAACAAACCTAGCTAGAGCTTCAGGAACACCTTGGCTGGTGAGGTATGTATATTCCCCCATAACGGACTTTACTTATGTGACAGAGGAAGTATACGGAATGTGTTTACGGTCGCGGTTCACGCCTGATGGTTGTTTTCTTTCGTTGGTATTCATTTGAGTTGGTATGGAAGTTGCCAACCGTGCACTCAACCAAGCACACGACATAATACAGGCCGCACTCTACCTCACCTTACACGACTATTTCCAATCCACTGCTGCGTACGTTCTGGTATTGCAAGACCGAAACAAAAGCGCAACCGGCAATCGTGTGTACCGGTTCCTCAGATGGAAACGGTGTGCGGTGTACCCGACATAGAACACCGCCTTGTCTTCTAGTAGGATGGTATAAGAACCAAGTCTAAGAGGCGAGATGGCACAGGGGTGCCAACCAAAAAGCGGAAAAAACGGGCAGGAAATCGTTGGCCCCGGCATGTGCCTTCATCTCCGCCTTTTACCGTGTACTTCGGAGTACAAGATTGTGTGTACCTCGTGCACAGCAGCCAGCCAGACTGCACGGAATTTGTGATATCGTGACACAGCACACAGCATACAGCACACAGCACACAGCACCTGCGTGCGTGTTTGTGTTGTACGTGATTGGAAATCAAACGGTAGACATCTAGACTAGGAACTCTAAACGACCGTAGTAGATAATCTAGACTAGTCTATCCAGTAAATAGTCTAGACTAGACCATCTGCCAATGGCTACTGCGAGGTAAGGCACCGCACTCATGCCCTCGAACGAAGCAGCAGCCAAACACACAACACAACATCAACACACTTTGTCCATCCATCCATCATCATGCACATGCTCTCACCTTGAGTTGATATCTGAGGGCGTGGTAGTAAGTGTGTGGAGTGGGAGCAGTGGGCGTCCGACAAGGGCGTCGGAGGGCATGGACACAAGTTGATCCACCCGATGAAAATGGCGGGTAACGTTCTGAGCTGATTCCCATGATAAGGATCTTGTGGACCGTCAGAAGCTTCCTCCTTTTTAATGTTATGCCGTCAAGACGGTATTGTTTGTGACGCAATACAGATAGCGCCCGCACTTAAGAACCTCTAGTTTCGGCCGAGGCTGGGATTCTTACTTTGCTGATCATCTTCTTGTGGGTAAGTTTTTTTTGTATGGGGTTCCCAAGCGAGCTCACAAATGGTGCTCAAGTTAGTTTCTGATTTTTTGCGAGTCTCGATTTCTGAACTGCGAAGTTCTCAAGTGCGAGCGCTATATGCATACATATCTTTCGAACGAAGAACCGTCCGACGCGTCGTCCGAAGTATCTCCCAATCCAAACTCTCTTCGTTTTCCTTCCGTGATATGCGGTGAAATGCATACCACGACAGGGCTTCGGGGTATCTTATTGAGCTGGAAATCCTGGCCAAAAATTGTGGAAGCTGATCGTCTACTACTGTTCGTTTCCTTTGCCTGTTTACAAATTAGGGAAATCTCCGTGGCGGGCACAACGAGTGTCGAGAGCAAGACCACAGACAGACAACAGGGTTTTCGCACGATTGAGCGCGAAGTTTCCGATTGAGAGCGAGAACCAAAAAATTCGAAATTCGGGTCCAGACGCCTCCCGTCATTTCTCGGGAAGCAGGCGACGGGCTCTTCCAAAAAGCGGCACAAATTGAAGCTCTCTTGCTCTCTTCAGCAGCTTCGCGTGCATATGCGTGTCACTGCGATCGGCTGCAGCAGCGAGGAGCTACGCACGTTGCTAGATTTCCCCAGATTGGCTATTCCTGCCCGAAACTGTTTCAGGGCGCCGTCGCCTGGCGCGGTAGGCCCTCCCGTAGCTTCTGCTCCGCGGTCTAGCTCCACAACGCGAGACACCCGCAGGATGACCCGGGTATCGGCTTGTAGCTATGGGCAAGCCCTTCAATTCAAGCCGCACAGCAAGCTCTACCTCTCAGCAGTAGACAAGCTACATCGTATCGCACGATCTCGCTCTCAATCAGATACTTCGCTCTCAATCGTGCGTATATGTTGATAGACGCTGTTTCCCGTTCCCATCCTCATCCTTCTTCCAACGAATTCTCACATAAAATAACTTTTTTGCATCATCAGGGTTTGGTGTACAGATACAGATCGGTGCATTGGCCTGCTGGACTGCTCTGTTGTTGCGAAAAACTAGGAACTATTGGCACACTCCGGCGCATTGAGAAGAACCTTAATCTAAGGCTCCTGCTGCAGGTAGCTCGGCCTTGCGGCATTACCGCTCTCACACCGTACAGTAGCGGCTACGGTTTAAGAGAGGGTCGGTACAAACAAGCCAATTTCACTCTCTTAAATCCGGCTTTCTGTTATATCGTGTTGGCTACGGTATAAGAGAGAATTCTCTTAAACAGTATCTCACTATAAGAGAATATTCTCTTGTATCATAGACAAAACTAAAGGTCGTGAAACAGGGACTCTCGCGCACTGACTACACTCGAATGCCAAAATAGGTCATGAAGAGAGCGTATCATGCATGTCACTTGCGCAGCTAGCGTTACCACGTCGGGCTACCTCCAAACACCGCTCATTCTCTTGGTTGGCAAGCACGTGGACCCAAGTACTGCTGTACGTGGTACGCTTTTGGTGGATCTGCGTTCGGAAAATAAATCATCGTTGTGTGATGCGATGCACATTTTGCACGTGGACATTGGTTGAGTTGTTTTATAGCTGTGTTTCATTTTCATAGTCGCACCTGTTCTAGAAGGACAACACGAGGCAACGAATGCACCAGCACTCAAGAACGACGCACCCGTTTACACAATGCACCCCTTCCTCCCACCGTACCCTCAACATAACACCCTCATACCTCTCATCCCATCGATTTAAACCCTCGACAAAAACACAAGTCAACGAAAAAAAAAGAGCTTCACAATATCAACATCACTCGCCGTACAAATAACACGAACCCAAGAAACCAACGGGAGGACAGGCAATTGTGGCAGATGCGATGCACCTCGGAGGTGCCCTGAGGGTCCACCACACCACAGGTGCCATGGAGGTACTGCCCGCAGACTCCTCTACATTGGTGATTTGTGAACGCCGGCGGGTCTGGCGTGTGATCGGGGACAGCCGTGCAGCGACTGCCCGCCGCGCAGGGCATGGTGTCTGCAGCTGTGTGGGTGTGTGATGTGTGTGTGTGTCCACGTGGTTTCCATATTGTTCGATTTAAGAGCAAAATCCCAGCTGCAATAGGAAATTTCTCTTCAATCGATTTTGATTGGTACAAGCCAATTCCTCTCTCTTAAATCCGTACTTCTCTTAAATAAGTTCTCTTAAACCGTAGCCGCTACTATGGTAGTATACAGCACAGCGCATTTGTAAAATGGGAAATGGACACAAGTGGGTTGTTGTTGTTGTTGTCGTTGTTGTTGTTGTCTTCACATTAAAAACCGTTCCGATATGTATATTCCCCCATAACGGACTTTACTTATGTGACAGAGGAAGTATACGGAATGTGTTTACGGTCGCGGTTCACGCCTGATGGTTGTTTTCTTTCGTTGGTATTCATTTGAGTTGGTATGGAAGTTGCCAACCGTGCACTCAACCAAGCACACGACATAATACAGGCCGCACTCTACCTCACCTTACACGACTATTTCCAATCCACTGCTGCGTACGTTCTGGTATTGCAAGACCGAAACAAAAGCGCAACCGGCAATCGTGTGTACCGGTTCCTCAGATGGAAACGGTGTGCGGTGTACCCGACATAGAACACCGCCTTGTCTTCTAGTAGGATGGTATAAGAACCAAGTCTAAGAGGCGAGATGGCACAGGGGTGCCAACCAAAAAGCGGAAAAAACGGGCAGGAAATCGTTGGCCCCGGCATGTGCCTTCATCTCCGCCTTTTACCGTGTACTTCGGAGTACAAGATTGTGTGTACCTCGTGCACAGCAGCCAGCCAGACTGCACGGAATTTGTGACATCGTGACACAGCACACAGCATACAGCACACAGCACACAGCACCTGCGTGCGTGTTTGTGTTGTACGTGATTGGAAATCAAACGGTAGACATCTAGACTAGGAACTCTAAACGACCGTAGTAGATAATCTAGACTAGTCTATCCAGTAAATAGTCTAGACTAGACCATCTGCCAATGGCTACTGCGAGGTAAGGCACCGCACTAATGCCCTCGAACGAAGCAGCAGCCAAACACACAACACAACATCAACACACTTTGTCCATCCATCCATCATCATGCACATGCTCTCACCTTGAGTTGATATCTGAGGGCGTGGTAGTAAGTGTGTGGAGTGGGAGCAGTGGGCGTCCGACAAGGGCGTCGGAGGGCATGGACACAAGTTGATCCACCCGATGAAAATGGCGGGTAACGTTCTGAGCTGATTCCCATGATAAGGATCTTGTGGATCGTCAGAAGCTTCCTCCTTTTTAATGTTATGCCGTC